AGCCCTACTGAAGCAGTAATTTGGAATACAATGAGGCTATACAAAGTATCTGAATATTCTTTTGAAGTAGTGCAAATCTGTATGAAGAACTCTAGCAGTCTTTTAAAAACACCACTATAGATGAATTAATATAATCGCAGGTCACTTTAAAGATCAAATTTTAGTATTGATATTACTACTTTCATTTGATTCTTAAAGATCCATGCTATCTGTCAGTGCAACATTTGGTAATTGTCTGATTTGAATTATAAATTTGCCTGCTTCACATTATGGTATTTGCTTGCTGGATGAGGCATAACTGGTAGCAGATACAGAGTAAACATAATATTTATGATGATGATGTGGATTAAGCAAAAGGCAAAGATATAGAAAAACTATAATAATCTTCCTCTGATTTTATATAAGCCTCTATAAAGCTTTACATTTTATTTAACAGTACTATGAATAATATGAAATATATTTTCTTTAGTTATTAAATAGATACAATGCTTTATCAAAGATTACTTTTACATTCATTTTATTAAATTATAAAATAGAAATCTTATATAAACTACATCAGTATTTGAGTATTGCAATTTTTTTTAATTACTGAAATAACATGTTTCCAACTAAACAGGTGAATAAGGAGTTTATACTTTGAGTTTCCATAAAGTACAAAAAAATGTTTGCCATGTTCATTTTCTTTTCTTAAAATGGTAAAGTCATTTATATTTCCATTTGTGCTTTTGTTTTAATCTCTTAAAACATTACTTTTAAGAGTCAAGTTGAAATGACCAGAAGACTTTGTCAACTTTGTTTTTTGACCAGTATATGATCTTGAACCAAGCATTAGTGAGTGGGTCCAAATTCAGTGGATCCAAATTCAAAGTGCATTAAACTTAAATCAAATTTTCAATTCATATATTCTAATTAAAACAACAGCTTGACTTTTCCTTCATATACATAGTCATGATGCAAATATCATTAGTAGATACTGATACATGCATAAATGTATTTATAATGATACATAAAAATATGTTGAGATAACTGATAAACATATTGCTTTATTTGTATGTTCTATACCTATAATTATTTTTTCTAACAGCACAAGGTCTTATTGCCCATCTTAATTTTTTGTCCTACCTAAACTTAATTTAGTACAATAAAATAAATGTTAATGGTCATTTTGGCATCACTACGCCATAAACTACATCAGTAAACACCTTATATTTTGATATGTATTCGCATTAACAAGCTAAAACTAAAAGAAGTCCCTGATCCTTACAACGTACTTGGCTCTCACAGGATTGCGCAGAACACCGAAAACAAAGACCCAGTTTGTCTCAGGCACCCGCCCCACTGCCTTCACTCATAAATCACTGGAAAGCAGTCACGAAGAGGAGTTTCCCCTTCCCTGGTCTTCTCTCTCCAAGGACTCATAAGACCAACAAAGATACATGGGGTCAGAGTGTGTTTCTGTTGGATATTGTGTTCCACTGGAATTTTTGTAATGTCTGTTACGCTTCCTCTCCCATTGAGTATATATTGGACTCCCAGGATGGTTTGTTCCCTCCTCTCCTCTCTGCTTCTTTCTCTCTCTTCCTTCCTCCCTTCTTTCTCTCCATCTCTCTCAGCTTGTCTCTTTATTTCAGTCTCTGTCTCTATTTCGCTCTTTTCCCTTTCTCCCTCCCATCTTCTTGCATTAATACAAAGTTGTCAACACTTTGTGTTTCTTTCTTTATTGTGTTTTTCTTCCATCAAATAACAGCAGGATTTATCTCTTGATGGTAGCATATTTATCCATTAAGAAAGCATTTGTATTTTTCAAAATTATTTCAATAATTTTATCATGTAGAAAATATTACCAAAGAAAATTTCTGGTGTTAGGGAGGTCTGGGAAAGGTGCATAATTATACACTGCAGATGGCAATGATTCCAAAAGGGTCTTAAGAATGGGAGGTTGGAGCCACCATGTGGAATTCAAATCACCTGCTTGCTCATGTCTCAGCCTTTACACTCATTTCAGCTTCAGAGATAGAAATATCCTGTGCCCATGAATGAAAACGTGTTGGTGGATACAAGACTTTATTAAAAGGAAATTAGTATATTAAATAAGAACATCAAAGAAGAAATTTTAATAAAAGCACAGTAGGATAAGAGACTCAGTGTTATTTACTTTGCAGCCCAAGGTAACATAATGAGCTTGCTAATTTCCTTCAGTTAATAAACTTTAAGAGCTTAGTTTTAGCTGCATTAAAAATGTATTTATTATGTTTTTAATACTTCTTTGAAATCATTTCTAACATGATTCTGTTTTCCCCAAATGTTGATATTTAGAAATGATATTTTTAATTTAATAGATTAAAGGATGTTATTTGATAAGAAATGGCAAAATTCTAGTAGCATAAACAAGAAAAGTACATATCACTCCACATTTAGATAATAGGACCTAAATAAGTCATTCCATAAATGCATATATATTATGCATATAAATTATATAAATATACTTACATATTATAAACTGGCACCTGAGATTATTTGTAAATACTGTCGTTATTCCACACCTGTGTCATTATTCTTCTACCACATGAATTTTTATGTTTGCACATGTTCTATTTTATGAATATGCCATTATTTATTTCACTCCTTTTCTACTATTGAAAATAAGATTTTTGGAATATTTTGCTATCATAAATAATATTGTAATCAACAGTATTAATAAATAAATAGTTAACATTTCTTTCTGAAAATGTCTTTAATATAAATTGGTAGAAATGGAAATACTCGCTAAAAAGTGTGAATGTTTTAAGTCTTCTGAAATGTGCTCTCAACCTATCTCTATTGTAATTAATACATATTATTTCACATTCTTATAAACATACACACACACACACACACTCACACACACACACACACATATGCATGCGTTCATACAACTACGTCCTTGTAATGTAGATATGTAGGCCCAGCACCTTATTTTATACATACTTCTAAATCTGGATCAGAAGTGGGGTCTGGCTCAGGCGTGCCCAGGCAGGCCAGTTGAGTTTCACATAGCTGCCTTGGTTCCCACATTGACCCCTTCTCCAAATACTTCTCTAGGTCTAGTAATCCTCTGGTCATGAACCCCATGGAAGATTATTACAAAGCTCTGCAACTAAAAAAGAAGTGAGGTTAATTAGCTTTCATTTTCATTCTACCCATTGTGTGATGCTTTAAAGAGTTTGCTGCTTTAATTTAAAATCTCTTAGAAAAGCAACTAAGCATTTGCCTTTTTTTATATCTCGCAACATTCTGATCCTTTAAACTCTGTCCAACAGCTTTACATAGCACATGATTCTCGTTAAAATCCTCCACTAATGCTTGATGGCATTACTTTCACCACTGATTATATCAAAATAAATTGGAAGCTCTGTATATTTAAAAATATATTAAAGCTTAAAAATGTTGGCTTATTTGTCTCCCTGCATCTTTTCACTGTCCTGATTTATCATTGAGATAAATATAAACCGTGTGACTTAATTACGTATACTTTAAAAACAATGGATAATGATGGAGGTATTCATTTCATTATTAAAGAGAGTAAAATTTCTAAGATTAACTTAGCCTTTTTTAATAAGGAGATCGAGTTCTACACTAGTCTAGGCCCTTATCAAGACAATTTCAAATGCCCAAATGTGCCTCCTCCCTTTGCCATGGTGTGTATGTGTGCGTGTGTGTGCGCGTGCATGCGCAATTGTTGCCCTCCTCTATTTTAAACGTTCAAATGACCTGTCATTTCTGTCTAAAAATTTATTTACTTAATATAGTAAAGCATTTTGGGAAAAGCAAAGTTTAGGTTTGGTTGAGTCCCCACTCTGTATCTTGTCTGTTGCATAATCCTTGGAAAATTATTTTGACCCTGTATGCCTTAATATTTTATTTGTCAAATAGGGATGATGATTCACCTACTTTCAATAATTGTTGTGGTAATTATATCAAATATCAATATAATTCAGGAAATTTGGCATGGATAAATATTTCTTCAAGTTTTTCATCACAATATCAATAGAGAATAGTTGGTTATCTCCAGAGAATAGGGAGTTAGAAGGTTAGCAGACTGCCTGCTATAAATACATGAAGCCTCACCCTAAATTTTGAATTTCTCATTCTACTCTTCAATGTATCTGTTTATTTTCAGATGACTATCATGCTTTTCATACTCTTACACTCCCACTCCAAATCCTGAACTAAAATTGATACATCAGGAAAAAAAAACACCTAGTTTGTGTTATTTGAAAAAATATAAAAATTCATGTATGCCCACCATTGTTATTATTATTTTATTCAAAAATTTTGAAGATTTGGCTCTCACTTACAAAGCCTAAATTTCATTTGCCTTACCTTTTCACACTTATGTCCAGTTATCCCTGAATGATCCCCACTTTCGCCACTTTTGACCCCCTTTTACGCTGTTGTTCATGCAGTGCTCTGCATAGAAGGTTATCTTCTCATTATTTTGGGAAAATTCCTTTGCTTGCAATATTCCTAATCAATCCTTGAGTATTTTTTTAAAGATTTTTATTTATTTATTTGACAGATGGAGATCACAAGTGGACAGAGAAGCAGGCAGCGAGAGAGGAGGAAGCATGATGTGGGGCTCAATCCCAGAACCCTGGGATCATGACCTGAGCTGAAGGCAGAGGCCTCAACCCACTGAGCTACCCAGGTGCCCCAGTCCTTGAGTATTTTTGATGAACATTTGTGTTAACAATTTCTCTTTAAAACTTCAAATCCACCTGTGGGCTCAAACATAACAGCACAGCTTTTTATAACTCAACGTAGATTACAATTTTAGCTCCTGTATGAAGCTTAAGTTCATACATTTAAGGAAAAAATAGTCTCTTTTCAGGAAACTTGACATTTTCACCTCCTGTGTTTTCTGAATCACAAAGGCAAAAAAAAAGAAAAGAAAAAAAGAAACAAAACAAAAAACCAAACTCAAGAGGGAACAAACATTTACTTGAGTGTGCGTACTCTGTGGGAGTTACAGTGGGAAGCAATTATACTCATTCACATCCAGCCTTTAAACTCTTCGTCAAGTCAAGGAGCCAGATTGCTTGAATTTCATCAAATTAACTTTTTTCTTCTATTGTTTGTTTCTGAAGAAACTATGACTTCTCTGATAGCTCTTCTTGATTACCAGTCAGATGGCCTAAAAGAGGCACAGAAAGGTGCTTAGGTGGTTATGCATGAAGTTTTTTCTCAACACAGTTCGTATTTAAACCATGACCTTTTCTTAATAACTCTGAGGTGTTAATAAAGAGAAATATGGAAGCATAATAGCAGGCAGGCAAACGCATTATATTATATTTGTTCCTTTGGAATCCAGCAATAATGAATGACACTTTAAAGATTTCCATTTAATGACTCAGTTGAACTAAAACCAAACTTAACTATCCCAACCCTATTTTGAAGAGGATGTCATTCTTAAATATTATAGCATATGACTAAATAAATGGTATGTTATGAGGAACACACTGAGAAGAAGCACATATCAAATTATAAAATACATATATTATTTATATATATGTATCTTTATATATATATATATATATATCTGTACGTGTGTATACACACACACACATATAAAGCAGGAAACATGTGTCTTTTGTTTTGCTTTCACAAACATAGTAATTGTATTTGATATGTCTTAGAAAGGCTTCTGGGTAGTGTTCAGCTAAATTTTGCCTGGAAAAACACAGGGAAGGAAAAACAGCATACAAATAATTGCAAGAGTTAATTTAGTATTCTTATAAATTGCAAAACGTTTTTTGCAAAGGGCTACTGTTAAATCCTAAAGAAATATTTTTAATGATTTTACTAAGATGGCTGTTTACATTTCTTAAATAAAAACTAAGAACAAAATCTGTTGTTTCTTCCTATCCTACTTCCTACATTTCTTTACTGGTTTCTTCTGGGAGATCTTCCTTATGAAATCATTTGCTTTCAAATCCTAGGCTCAGGGTCTACTTCTGAGCAACCTTGATCTTGCCCTTGGCTCCATTCAGTTTCTGTTTGTTTGTTTGTTTCTTTTTAAGTATTTTATTTATTTATTTGAGAGAGAGAGAGAGCACCTGCATGAGTGAGGGGGAGGGGCCAAAGGAGAGGGAGAAGCAGACTCTGTGCTGAGCAGAGAGCCCAGTGCCGGGCTCTATCCCAGGACCCTGAGATCATGACTTGAGCCAAAGGCAGACACTTAACTGCCTGAGTCCCTAATATCTGTTATTTTAAAGTATTAACCAATCATATAACAGTAATGTTTATGATAGACCTGATTTATCTGGAGGAACAAAGCTGATGCAGTTAAAAAATAATTATACTCCCAATTCAATTTCTTGATATAAAACCTTTGCAACTACTATTTTCATGACAAGAGTATCTTATATCTCAACATTTATTTGTATACTTAGTTAATTTGCTATGGTTTATGAGGCAAATATATTTCATTAATCTCTTATGTCTTAATTATGCCTGGATAAATAAATCAGATGCAAGCATTTAAAAGGAAGAGTAACTAAAAGGCAAATTTAACACTATAGCTACTTTAAATGATCATTGTAAATTACCTTAAGATACATACATTATTTTAAAAGTTTCAAATATTTTACACACATAAAGAGATTTATGGGAAATTAGTATCTTATTTGAAATTCATGAAACCAAGTCTAGTTTAATACAGCACAGCTATATATTCATGAAACAGCCAAGGGCTTTGAATTCACCGGCAAGTGACTTCATTGACAAATAGTGCTTGCTTACTCTTCCCCTTCAGAACAGGATCTAACAAGGTCTATACTTTGCGACTCTCTCAAATCTCTAAAGTCGGCAGTTACTCTTGAAATAAGACATTTCCTTTGGTGATGACCTCATGTGAAAGGTCAACAAGTGGATAGGAAATTCTTAGAGATGGAAATGGCATTGCCAAGTGAGGGAAGGAAATCACTTACTTCATTATTTTCAAAGGACTTTTTTGTTTGAAGGTCAGATTAGGGCTTTCCATCCTCTGCTTTTTCCCTCATTAAGTCTTTCACAAGAACAGAATTTTTTTCTTATTTGCTTCCCCTGTAATAGGAAGGAGAGATTCTCATGTCTCACGCATTTTCTCCACATAAATTTCATAAAGGATAGGAATAATCATTATTTAATTTTCTTAAATTTATTATGACTTAATTTATACCAAATATGACTTCAAATATGCCTTTAATTTAAAACATCATTCTATTTGATATTATGCATCTAAAATATCCATGTAATTAACTGTTTCTACCTTATTTATCTAGCAATTTTGGCAGTAGTTTAAAAAAAAAACAAGGAATATTTCATTGTAGAATTATTTTGTGAAACTTAAAATGTATTTTTCATTCTTTTCTTAGTTATATTAACATACATTTTTGAGGACAATATTCATATCAAAATTCTTGTAACACTGATATAAAAAAGATATGCAGACATCTTCAATACAAAGAAACAGAAGACACATGTTAAATGAAGCACATAGACTAAGCCAGATGATGAAGGAAAGTAGTCCATTGGGGGAATCAAGGAGTTTTAGGAGGTGATGTTCATGATCCAGAGAAGACACTTCTGAGATAATGTGATCACTTCCTAATCATGAGATGTGCATAAATTCAAGCTATGCTTCAGGAACAAGTAATAATCCAGTTTGTCTGGAGGCTAGATTATGGTAAACTTGTAGTTTTGTTCCAGACAGTAGACTATCCTGAATGTCAACCTACAGTGTGACCTAATTTCAGAAAGTGAAAGAAGTAGACATTGAGGGGAAGGAAGATTACATTTTCTTTTTTTGTTTTAATATTTTATTTATTTATTTGACAGACAGAGATCACAAGTAGGCAGAGAGGCAGGCAGAGAGAAAGGGAGAAGCAGGTTCCCTGCTGAACAGAGAGCCTGATGCAGGGCTTGATCCCAGGACCCTGGGATCATGACCTGAGCTGAAGGCAGAGGCTTAACCCACTGAGCCACCCAGGCACCCTGTAAGATTACATTTTCAAAACCACTTCAGAAAGATCTAACTGCCAAGTGATATGTGTGTTCACTTGGTGAAGGAGAAACTTGAGGCATGGTGAAAGTCAGGCGAGGACTACCAGAGGCCAGAAAACGCCAAACCAGGATGGTAGAACTGGTAACACAGTGGACAGTGTTGGATAGACACCGGCAGTGAAAAATTTCTGGACTCAGTGGACAAGCCACAGAAAAGAGGTATAAATGCCACTAGCTTCCTAGATAGTATGGTGAGATGAGAAGGGCAACAGTACTAACAATCACAACAAATAGACAGGGAGAGTTTCTTATATATTACCTGTCAGGCATTTTTATTTTTCTTTCCTTTTAAGATTTTATTTATTTAATTTGGGAGAGACAGAGAGAGAGAGTGAGCACACATGCACAAGTTGTGGGAGGATCTGAGGCAGAGGGAGAGAAGAATCATCTCAAGGAGACTCCCTGCTGAGCATGGAGACTGAAGCAAAGCTGGGCTTGATCCCACGACCCATGAGATCATGACCTGAGCGGAAACTAAGAGTCAGACACCTAACTGACTGAGCTATCTAGGCGCCCTTCGAAAGGGGCTAGACTTGATATGAGAATTTTAACTAACTGAAATTCACAGGTGACAACACTGGTCAATTATGAAATGTGGTTATTAAATCTCTGCAGTGTATAGGCTGAGTTTGATTGGTGTTTTAGGATTCTCCATAGAAACACAATGAAGAGGATATGTGTGTGTGTGTGTGTGTGTGTGTGTGTGTGTGTATGTATATGTATATGTGTATATATCTTTATTTATTATAAGGAATTGGCTCCTGTAATTATGGAGGCTGACAAGCACAAAATCTGCAGGGTGGGCAGCAGCCAGGCTGGAGAACCAGCAGAGCCTATATTCTTGTTCAAGTCCATAGTCTGCTGTAGAATTTTCTCCTGCTCAGAGGTGGGTGGTCTTTCTTCTATTCAGGCTTTCAACTGATTGTATAATGCCCACCCAATCATGGTAAACAATCTGTTTTATTCAAAGTCCGTTGAATTAAATGTTAATCGCATCCAAATACATCCTCACAGGAACACCCTGAATAAAGTTTAAGTAAAATAAAAGATTGAGGGGATTAAGAAAGGCGGAGTTAACATATAAAATTAGCTATCACAATGGGCTATGTAGATATCTTCATAACAAGACTCCCTAGAGGCTGTCATCTCAGGTGTAAGCTTCTGGAAATGGACTTGATGACAGATCAATCCGTGTATTAGAAATTTATGAATAAGGAACAAAAAAGGAGGAGAAGGTTCAGATTTTTAAAACTAGATATTTCAATACCCAGTGAAAAGGACAAGCATTAAATCTTATAGCAGAATGCCTAGATCAAAAATTAAGGCAAAAATCACATTTAAATTAGAAATAATTTTACATAGGAGGATTTGGTATAATAAAACTATTTTATTTGTACAAACAAAATACTTATTAATATTATTACAGAGAAGTCTGTAAAATATGTGCTTTCTGTTGCTCTTTACATGTAGAATAGATCAGTCTCATTAAAAGAAATAGAGTAGGGTGGCCTGGGTGCCTCAGTGGGTTTAGCCTCTGCCTTCAGCTCAGGTCATGATCTTGGGGTTCTGGGATCGAGCCCCACATCAGGCTTTTTGCTCAGTGGGGAGCCTGCTTCCCCCTCTCTCTCTGCCTGCCTCTCTGCCTACTTGTGATCTCTCTCTCTGTCAAATAAATAATTAAAATCTTAAAAAGATAAAAAATAAAAAATATAAAAGAAATAGAGTCCATGCTATTTCTGTTTTCAGCACAAAGAATGCTTATGTGACATGGATCACCAATCTTTCTATGTAGTGATAATAATAAACTTATTATCAAGAAAATACTATGTGTAATAACATAATATTTTACTGTTATTCTCTCTCTTGTTGTTTGGTAGTCATCTGTGAAGGAAAAAAAAAAGTTCCTGGGTGACAAGACCTGTATAAGGTTCCCTTCAAGTCTTAAGTCGTGTAAGCCTGCTTAAGGTCACTTAATAAATGAGAAAAATGAGCATTTAAAATGTCAAACCTTTCACTCACATGTATCAAAGGCAACAGTGTAACGCTTAAGATTCTGCTGACCTTTAGCTTGTCTATTGTCACCAACTCTCCTACTCTGGTTCAACTTGCTCCTTTATCACCTTGAATGTTGAAGAAGTCACCAGTGCAAAATCCACTCAAACTACTAACCACTTGAAATAAGGTGCTCAAAAAAAGGAAGATGTCTCTTGAGATGTGTAAAGCATTTCCTTTCTGTTCCACTTAAAAAAAATTTCTTAACTATCTATTTAAAATGGGAAACTTTGGTTTCCTTTTTTTTTTTTTTAAGATTTTATTTACTTATTTGACAGAGAGAGAGATCACAAGTAGGCAGAGAGGCCGGTGGTGGGGGGAGAAGCAGGCTCCCTGGTGAGCAGAGAGCCCAATGCAGGGCTGGATTCCAGGACCCTGAGATCATGACTCGAGCCGAAGGCAGGCGTTTAACCACGTGAGCCACGGAGGTGCCCCTCACCTATAATTTCTGTGTACAGAGAATATATTTGGGAAAAAAGCAGGAGAGCAAATATATAACTTGTAGCTCTCTTACTCTCCGGATGTGTTGCAGACACACCTCATATCATTACAGGGCTATCTGAGAGGCAGACATCATTGCTAATTGAACATCACTGGCATGCAAGTTGAGGCCTGAGATTTGCCTTCCCTGACATATAGCAACCTGGCCATTTGTAGTAATATTTGATTAAAACAGAACATTTAATTTTCTGCGGGAAGAAAAGAAATCTCAAGAAGCAGGCATGCCCCAGACTATGATATCTTTTTCTATATGTTTATTCACAGAAACTGATGGAGGCATAATTAGTGGCCCAGAGAATTACATTTTTAAAGTTTATTTAAATATTCATATTGTTTTATTATATCATATGATTAAATATTATGTTAAACAAATATTTAATATGATAGCTTAGTGTGAAAAATATAATCTAAGCTTCAGCTCTGTTATTGAAACATTTTCAAAAGTGTTGTATGTTTGCCCACAGAATTGACTGTGTACATAAGGAGGGATGTTCCTCAGGCCTAAATTGTATACTGTCAGCGATTCAGACATTTCTCAGCAAGTATGGAATGGGAACTTGGTAGGAGAGGCAAATAAACAAACAACCTTGGGAAGCTGTGACCATCTCTGAGCCTCTTTCCTAGATTCCACCATTTGGGTACTATTGCCCGAGCTGGGGAGAATAGCTTATTTTCTTTAGTATTTACCATGTGCTCAATGGTTAATGTGTTTCTGTAATTTAAGATTTTCAACAAGCCTGTATAATACATGTTACAGAAAGTCTTTTATGGCAACAAGGAAACTCAACGTGGAGTGCTTGAACAATGGCCCCAAGGTCAATAATCACATTCTCACAGAATAAAATTACATAGGTGTGTGAACTTGGTGTCAGTGTGCAGTGCAGCTGAGGTAGTACGCATGAGCATCATCACATGTGTGTCCTCTGATTCTCAACATGGCACTGAGAGAGCACAAAACATGATGCTTTCTGGTCCAATCCAAAGGACAACACAGTTAGAATAAAAGCGTTTGTCGTGCTTCATTTCACAGAAGTAGGGAAGACGGCACAGGGCTTCTCAGTGGTTCAGGGTTCCAAAGGTGGATTTTGCAGTGGGAGGTAAAGGAAAACCATGTTTTGTTACTGTTTTCTTTTATTTATACTACACCTTATCCCATACTTGTAGAAGGGGAATGTCTACAACAGGTAGTAACAATGAATATGTGTGTGTGTGTATTATTTTTGTTGAAAGCTCTTAACTGTTATTTGTTCTCCCTTTACCATTTGTCCCTTCACATTGAGAGAGAAGAAGATGCCCTAAATAAAGCAGCTTGCATAGTGCCTAGGACCTATTAAATGCTCAGTTAGTGTTCACTCCTTTTCCGTTGGTGCTTTCTCTTCTGTAAATCAGAACTACTAACTCTGATATTTGCAGGTCATGGGACCATTTCTTTCCAGGATTCTGGCTTTTGAGAAAGCTTTAGGCATATAATTATCATTTGATGCTAACTGAAATGGTTACTTAATTTGGAGTTTAAAATGAAGGGATTTTAGTAGTGAATTTCGTGCTGGGTTACTGTTCTTTCTAGGCATTTTCTGAGGCATTGTGTGGCCTTCTAAATTCCCAAAAGCCAGGTGTCTTCTCTGCAAAGAGCACATTTGTGTTTATTTTATTTGCTGCATGTGTCTTCTGTGAACATGTCAAAAAACAAAACAATTGAGAACACATCTGTGTCTTCTGTTGTACTCTCTTCCCCCTTGGGAAGGCAGGATGCTCAGGTATTATGCAATGTCTGCTACTCATGATCATCTGAAGGCCCAGGACTTCTTGGACCCTATTTTCTTTATTCTTCTTTCCTCTTCTCTTCTCTTCTCTTCTCTTCTCTTCTCTTCTCTTCTCTTCTCTTCTCGTCTCTTCTCTCTTCTCTTTTCTCTTTCCCTTCCCTTCCCTTTCCTTTCCTTTCTTCCTTTCCTTTCCTTCTCTTCCTTTTCTTTTCTTTCATCTCTTTTTCCTTTTCCCCTCCTCTCCTCTCCTTTTTTTTTTTTTTTTTGATCTCCACATTGCAAAAGAAGGACTATCCTACTCAGTCCTCAAGGATTTTTTGATTTTTTTTTCAAACTGGAATCTCGTTAAATCGACTCATTCAAAAGGGCGAAGTAATACTCTACTTGTTTGGGAATTGGTGATGATAAGGGGAATGTATAGAAGTATCTGGAGTGAATAGAAAAACAAACACCATTCCACAGAAAGTCCTGCAATGCAGTTGCCTATTCATTATCCAAGTGTGACAAAACCATAATTATATGCCAAGCACTGTTGCTGGTGCCATAGAACCCACCAAAAATAAGAGCTGAGTGTTCTGTCAACACGCTTTCAGCATGTCTAGTCTAGAGACTATAAATTAATCTCTAAGCTTATTCCAGAAGCTGTTTGTTCAATTTTAAATACCCAACACAAGGTAGGTACAAAATGGACATTTTTGAGTGAATGAATCAAAAAAGTAGAGAAGTGAAGTGCTTATCTGGCTCAACAGATGAAGCATGTAATTCTTGATCTTGTGGTCATGAGTCTGAGCCTCACACTGGAAGTAGAGATTACTTTTAAAAAAGAGAGAGAGAGAGCACACCAGTATGAGCAGGAACACTTTCCTCTCATGTGAAATGTTCTGATTGCAATGACTATGGGTGCTGTCACAAATGGCTAAGGACACAAACATAAAAATATCTTGCCTTCCACCTGGTTGTACATCACATATAGTGATTTGCTTCTATTTCTGAATACTTTTTACAAGACATCTCAAAAAAATTACATTTGGAGAAGAAGGGAAAGAAAACTACCACTAGATTTATAGATTTAACAACATTTTAATCTTCAGTTTTCTTTAAAAAGCCTATTTGTTTTGTAGACTCTCTTTAATGAAAGAAGCACCTCACTTTCTTGAACTAAGCTAGACGCTAAAAATAAACACATACTGCTAAATCTATGCCTAGGGTTTTAATGATTCAACCAATATGATAAATTTGTAATAATGAAATCAGATAAAGGACATATTGATCATACACTTCCTAAAAGTTAAACTACATCAGATGGAAATTAGGTAGTCTGTGGTTTCATGATGATTCTCAAACTGGTGACCACAAATTTCAGATTTCTCAGAACAGACAAAACTATCTCTTCCATTAGATTTGAGAAATATGGTTCCATTATATCTTACCAGTGTATTCATGTTATGGGGATTAAAGAATAATAGACACCAAGAAGATTCTGTTTTTCATGTTATTTGCAGAAGAGCTAGAGCTGAATTTGCACCCCTCTCTGCCACCTGCATGTCATGTGACTTATTTTGAATGTCTCATTCTTCTCCCAGTTGATATCTTCATCAATGAAGTCAATAATAATGGTAATACCCTACTAGTGGGAGTGAAGAGAGGTTTTGATTTCATGATGTATATAAAGTAATAAGTATCTAGCATGTAATTCATTCTCCGTACAGATTAGTTCTTTCCCTTCATTCTCTGAATTGTTCCTACACATCACTGTCTTTTCCAAGCATAGGGACTGTGGAAAGACATCAAGTAGAATGAAGGTAGGACAGGATAATTCTGGACAGGTGTACACCCCTGGTGATTATAATGTGACCCTTCTTGGTATCACTGCTATACGAACCATCTCCAGTTATTAGAGAAAATCCTGATGAGAAGTAATGGGAGATGTTCTTCATTTCTATATCTTAAGGACAGTAGTTTCCAAACATAGTTCTATAAATTAAAACTTCCCAAAGCTCCAACACAGGAGATTCTGATTCAGTGTGTCTGGACTGGTCTTTAGGAATCTGTATTTTATAAAATTTTCCCAAGTGATTCTAATATGAGCAGCATTTAGTTACAACTGCTCTTTGATGTGTGTTTGATCTAGAGTCTATATGAGTCTTTGCAGAGAAGATTAATAGCTCTTGTTTTGGAAGGTTAGCAATAATTACAAAAACTGATTCTTTATTTTGAAGAAGATCCCAAATCCATTTTGCTATCTTGAAGTAAATTGGATTTATGATGTGTTTGGTGATAAGTGTCCATTTTCTGCTCTTTCTTTCCAATGCTACCTTTGTAAGGCAATGATGATAAAAACAAATAAATAAAAACTCAACACATTTATTGGAGGTACCTGTATAATAAATCCTGATTCATTAGCAGTTACAGATTTTGACCTTCATGTTGAAAAAATAGTCTTTACATAACATAGATATCATCTGCTAAGAGAATTAAAGTGATTATTTCCCTGGAAACTTTCCTGAAGATATTATAGTTTATTACATTTTTCTGGCAGGACATTCAGTTCTACTTGATTGTTTAAATTGAATTTTATTTATGATCATTAACTGTCCAGTTAAGACCATTCTGATTGAAATTACTCTTATGTGATAATATCCATCTGCCTCTTCTATTTTGCATTAGGAAATAAGGGAATTGAAATACATTTTGCACTTTAAATTTAGCCCATCTATTTAATTACAGTCAAGTTCATGCCTGATATTAAGTCCTTCATGTTTTTTCAAATTCTTAACAGTTGTAGTATTGGTATTGTCTCTATAGCATCTGAGTCCATAAAATACACATGACAGAATGTGTGAATGTCCTATCAGGAAAAAATAAAATTGTTATAAATATATACACACATGGGTTGTATCTTGCCAAGAAAAAGTTCTGATTGCATGAAGAAGACTTTTAAACAAACGTCTGGCCCTCCTTTTGTATATGTATGTGTGTATTTGTGTAGAAATATTTACTAACATTGCTACTAATCTATTATTGGACTTCAGATGAAAGTCCAAAAAACTTTCAGAAGCAAAATATGTATCATTATTTAATTAAACTGTTCTACAAGGCTGATTTAGTGAGGCTCAACCTATAAAATGTTGTATCCCCAAGCAAACAACTAAGTTGTATAAGTCTAATACTATGATAATATTAATTTTTGACCATTTTTATTGGGAAACCTTTTTCCTGTGAATTTTGTGAATTTTATGAACTTCGTTGGGACATTTTGCCCAAAGTTTCTGTTTTGCTGAGTCCAAACCATATGTGCCAAACATGTTTTCTTTCAATATTTTCACATGTGTATCAAAGAAATTTAATCCGTATGCTTTTTATTTATTTACATTTTACACTTAAACTCATCAAAATGTTGTTATGCAAGAGCTTTTTGAATTCCAAGAGACATTACAGGGCTCCCAAAGTCCCAAGGAAACACTTTGTTGAATTTAAAATATTCTGTCTTCTGCTCATTTTTTCCCTAAGAAACCAAAATAATAAGTAGATTGTGGCCTCCCTTTTCATTTTAATTGGAATATCTAATAATTCAAATTTAACATAAATTTTAAATAAATAGTGAACACAGAGCACTAATATATATTGAATTCTTTCCTTCTAAGGAATTCAAAACAATGTGAGTTGTGACTCAACCAATTTTTGATCCTATTATTCTGGCTCCAATATTCCCATGATTGTAATTCTGTAAATGTATACATAAAACCTCTTGAACAGGATGATTATGCAGCCACATTCATCACAGGGTCCTGTGTAACACAAATAGAGAGGACCAGAAAGAAAGGAGAGAACGTCATCTATTTCGAAAGATTTGAAAAACATTGTGGTGGTGAATAATGAGGGCTCATAGATGAAAGAAGTTGAGCAGAGATAGCTAAAACCTCAAGTCATACAGGAGAAAACTTCAAAGAAGACGGGAGTCACTCTTCATTGACATAGCATCTCAAAGTCTCAAGAATATAAAAAAAAATGTAAAATCATGAAGATTAATTGAAAGACTGTTTAGAACAAATTTCACCATTCCCAGGCCACTCTTTTCCATGGTTTCTGTTGACCCAAGAACATCATTTTGAGGATTGGAAGAAAATTATTTTCAAGGTTTAATGGGCTGTATTTCTATCCAACTTACCATCCCAGGCAGGTGAATTTGTATGATATAAAAGTATTTGACCATCAGATTTGACCATCTACCCTCATCGAAGGTAGTTAGAAATTCAAGGGGAAAAAAATAACCTTCCTCAAAGAAAGTAAACCAACAAATTAGGGGAAACTTGTATGGTGGGTATAGGTACCACCAACATAACATCTTCCTCTTTTAACCTTAGGATGGTGCATAGCCTCAGATTTGTTCTTCAGATTTGTCATTCAGAAGCAAAATTCACTAATTATCAGGTGATGTCCTGTCCAGTAAGTGTACCTGAGCAACCAGAGTTCTCACTTAAGGAAAGACTGGGTGGAAAATGTATTTATACAATTAAAGCTGTCCAGATGTCAGTAAGTAAAAATGAAACTTCAACAGAAGACCATCAGGTACACGAAAGAGCACAAAAGGGAAAGATCAAGATACAGACACTGAACAACAAACCTAGATTACCAAGAAATAATTCATAGACAGAATAAACTTGAAGTAATATAAGCTACTACAGTGGAAGACATGGGTGAAATTATTACTGCCACATAACAAGAACAGAATGTCACAGAAAGGACAGAGTTAAAGCTCTTAGAAATTGAAAATATAATTGCTTAAGTTAAAAAGTAGAATCAATAGATAAATTAGGAAAAAAAAATAAGAGAAAAAATTTCCCAGGGAAAAGGGGTAGGATGGAGAAATAAATACAAGTTAAGAGACTTATTAATCAAGGAAAGTTTTTTTCAGTGCTTCCTTTTTGCATGAGCAATTCTTTGTTAATTTCTATTTGTTAATCACTGATGTTCAAAGGCTTAGAATGGCTGTCAATGTAACTGTGTAAAATTTCACTGATTCTCAAATCCTCATAGGGAGAAATACCTTTGTCAATTGACAACTACTGATCTAGGAAGTCCATACACAACAATATAAGGTGTAGAAAAGGACACAAACACACACACATGCATGCAGAAGAAGCTAGAAGAAATCTCTGCTTTTAAGAATATAGTCAAGTAATTATTCTGAAAAAAAAATCCTTCTACAAAACAGTTGGAAAGTCTAAATAAAATATTTAAATAGCTGTATAAATGTGTAACTGCTTGTAAGTTAAAGGAAATTCCTAAGGACAACAGAATAATAAATCAACTCAAAGGCAAGATTGGCCTAAGGGTATTTCCTAATCCCAGGAATATGGAACATTGTTTTAAATGTAGTATTTATGTGCTAAATAATATTTAATACATACAAGCATAATAATAACCTTAAAGGCAAGAATATTACACAAAACTATTGGCTCTGAGTTTTCTCCTTTATTGTATGCTAAAGTCTCTTTCAGAAACATTACTGTTTCCCTGAATCTTGTCTGCAATTCCCTTTTATATATTTAAAAAAAATTACCCATATAATTCATTATATTTATTTGCTTATGATATTTGTAAGTAGTTACATAACCAATGTAACATACTTTTATATCTCTTGACTATATTTTTTTCTACTCAGAATTCTGAAGATTCATCTACTTGACAGCAAAGAACTGTTCACTGAATTTTCAGTTACATACGTTTTCCATTATATGAAATATAGTACATTTTTCTTTCATGGATGTTTGAGTTGTTGTCATATTATGTCATGAACATTGTCATTATAAACATTCCACAGATTAAAAATGGCTATAAATTCCATTTTTTAAAGATTTTTATTTATTTATTTGACAGAGAGAGAGAGAGATCATAAGTAGGCAGAGAGGCAGGCAGAGAGAGAGGAGGAAGCAGGCTCCCTCCTGAGCAGAGAGCCTGATGTGGGACTTAATCCCAGGACCCTGAGACGATGACCTGAGCTGAAGACAGAGGCTTAACCCACTGAGCCACACAGACACCCTGTAAATTCCTTTTTAAAAAAGATTTAATTAATTAATTTATTTGAGAGAGAGAGAAAAAATGAGCAGGGTGAGGAGCAGAGGCAGAGAGAGAATCTCAAGCAGATTCTGCTTTGAGTGCTGAACCTGACTTGGGACTTGATCCCAGTGTCCTGAGATCCTGATGTGAGCTGAAATCAAGAGTCCAATGTTTAACTGACTGAGTCACCCAGGGGCTCCAAAATGGCTGTAAATTCTTTGACACTTTTCCCATGGAAAGATTTGGACTCTCCTGATGCTGGTTTAGCTTAGGATGTTTTAACCAATAGATCACAGGGAGAATGTTACCTCACTGCTTTCAAATCTAGCTCTAAAGAGGATTTGCAGTTTCCACCTTGGTATCTTACGGATCTGAGATGCAGTGTAGTCTGTATACATCAGAGGGTAGTCTGACTATCTTGCTGAGGGATCTTGAGGACAGGCTCCAAGACCATGTGAAGAGAGGCAGAAAAACGCATCCATCAGAGGCCAGCCTTTGATTGTTTCCATTGAGATATCAGACACTTGAGTAATGCCCTCATGAAAACTCTAGACCAGACCAGTCACCAGTGAGTCACTGATTGACCCCACTGATGGCACTCAAAGCAGAAGAATCATAATTTGAGTTCTCCCTGATTCCTGACCTACAGTATTAAGTGCATAGTAAAGTTAAAGTTGTTTCAAACCATTAAATCTATATATTGTTAAATAACAATGGATTATCAAAACAATCCTGGTACACAGAAACTGTGAGTTTTGCTAGGAAATATACTTAATGGTGGAACTACTGAGTCACAGACTATGCAAATTCTGAAATTTATAAGATAATGCAAAATTGTTTTTACTGAGTGATTATGCCAAATTATACTCCCCTGCCCCAGTAGCATATGAAGTTGATAAATTGTAGGAAACTCAATTCACATTTTATGCTTCCTCTTTCAGCTCAATGCTCATTTCTGCCTTTTTGCCCATTTTAGGGGTGGTTTATTTCTTACTGATTTGTAGAAGTTAAAGATTTTGAAAAGTTACCCTTCTTTGATTATATCTTTGTGTATAGATTTACATTTTTTTTTTTAGTATGCTTTGGTTAACGAAAGTTCTTAATTTTCATCTACTCAAATTTATAAATACATTTTTCATGCTTAGCATGTTCTGTACCTTGTTTAAGAAATTTATCTCTACTTTCAGATCAAATAGATGTCCCTGTATTTTCTTCTAATATTTGCATTTCACATCTCTCTATAGTCTGCCAGCAACACAATCCATGTGTTTTGAGTGTGTATATGTGTATGCAAATAATGCAGAGATCAAATCGTTTGTTTGTTTTTGTTGTTGTTGTTGTTGTTATTGATATCGGTTGTCAAAGCATTATTTGCTGATGGGTTCTTCCTTTTCCAATCAGTCATATATCAAATATCCTTATATTCAGGGATCTATTCTTGGCCTCTATATTCTCTTCTGTTCATCTTCTTGCTTATCTCTACGCCAATGCTATATTGTCACTGTTATGTCCTCAATGCCTATAAGAGAACCTAGCAGATAATAAGAATTCAACAAATACTTGCTAAATGCATGAATTAATACTGCTTTAAAATAAGTTCTGGTATATGGTAAGGTAAGTCCTCTCACCTCCTTCTTCAGGAATGCCTTGCTGAATTCTGGGTCTCTGGCAATGAATCATACACATTTTAGATTCAGCTTAAGTGACTTGAAATACAATGCTGGATTTTCAGTCCTAATTATGGAAACCCCATAATTAATTTTTAACAATTATCAATATTATGAAATTATGTTTCCTATGTTCCACATTTTCTCTTGAATGTTTTAGTATTTATCTTCAAGAAATTGGACTTCACTTAATTTCAGTAACTCCTTAATATAGTACTTACTCCGTTTTCAAATTTTCCTAATTGTTTTAAAGAGGTCCCAAATAAGGACTACCTGTTGCTTTGCGCTATTTGGTTTCTTATGTCTGTTTGTTTGTCTTTGTCTCAATCTCTCTTTTTATTCTTTTCTTTTTATTTTTTAAAGTTTTTTTAAATTAAATATTTTATTTATTTATTTATTTGAGAAAGAGTGACAACAAGAGAGAGTAAGCAGGAATTGGGGGAGAGGAAGAAGCAGGCTCCCCGCTGACCAGGGAACCCAGCATGGGGGTCCATTCCAGAACCCTGAGATCATGACCTAGTTGAAGGCAAATAAGCAACTAACTGAGCTACCCAGACACCCACCCCCTTTGTTTAAAGCAGTATCTTCCTCCATTAAAAAATTATTTTTGAGACCAATTTTTTATTTTGATTTTCAATTAGCCAGAAGTATTGGGTACCTAGTAGGCATAAATAAATAGAGAATGATAATGAGGCTTTAGTCCAGGAGAACAGCTGATGAAAAGAATATGAGAAATGAGTCAAGGTTGAGCATTTTTTCATGTGTCTGTTGGCCATTTGAATGTCTTCTTTGTAGAAATGTCTGTTCATGTCTTGTGCCCATTTCTTGATTGGATTATTTGTTCTTTGGGTTTTGAGTTTGATAATCTCAGCATCACTCAGCATCAGGGAAATACAAATCAACATCACAGTGAGATATCACCTCACACCACTCAGAATGGCTAAAATTAACCAGTCAGGAAATGACAGAAGCTGGCAAGGATGCAGACAAAGGGGAACCCTCCTACAGTGTTGGTGGGACTGCAAGCTGGTACAACTATTCTGGAAAACAGTATGGA